CCACCAGCTAGGGAGAGGCAGACAATAAAAAGTAAGGAAAGGCGAAAAGGGAGAATTGCATAAATATGGTCGTATTTCTCTCGTCAACTCCGCTGCTGCCACATGGAAGGGTGGAAGGAGAGTGGGTGGAAAAAGAAACCGGAGATGAAGGCAACGATAGTAGGAAAGAGAAAGATGATTGTAGGGAAGAAGAAAAACTGATGACTAATTTGTCCAAAATTCTCATCGGAGAGAAAACAGCATTGCGATAAGACAGAAGGACATGCGCCATGTTGTTAAGAAGGGGACGAGTGAGAGGGTAAAGTCAGTTGGTCGGGGGAGGGGCGGTGGACGGTGGAGGAAGGAGTGGAAAGGAATGAGGAGACCAAGCTGTTGGTTTCACTCCGTTTTTAGTCTGATTTACCGTGTAGCAGATATCACTTAGAGAAAGAGGGAATGGTTTTTGGGTTATGAGAGTGACGGAGAAAGAATGGAGTACTGGGGGGATTGAGATGGATGCTGTAAGGGGGAGAAATGGCTCAGAAACATAACTCACCTTTGCCCCGGTTCCAAAGTTTTTAAAAGGTATAAAGTCCCTCTTGTTGTTCGGCAGTCTCTGGCTAAGAAAGGTGCGTGGAGACGTAGTGATTGGAAGGAAGGTTTCTTCTGACAAAAGGAACTCAAGGCGGTAGGTAACCCACATACAGCAGGTCATATACCAGCTTTATAACGGAGGACTGCTGTAAAGAACGTAAGGAAACAAAAAATAAGAAGTAGTTGTGATTGGTTCTTGTCATGTTAAATGTAAACTCTTGAAGAACCTCTTTCTGGCACACATTTCCGGTGTGGGCAACTTAAATTTTTGTAAGGAATCTTACTGTTTTGGGCCCTAAAGATTCTATATTGCCGGACCCCGTACGTCCGCTTTACCTTCACGTTGTCTCGTAATTCAAAATTCACAACGTAATTTAATGGCGGCAACTTCATGGATACATGTGCAAAGCATGTAGTTCAAACAAATATTTGTTAGGCTTACTGCCTTAAATGAGGGCTAATAATTGACGTCTTATGAAAAGCTTAGGCCTGTACGACGAAGGAAAGCAATAGGATTCATAATGCAGCTGCAAATTGGGTTTTTTCTCGCGCACCTCACAGAAATATGCCTTTCAATGTGGAAGTTTTATCCACATTCAAATAATAAAACATAAAACTAAAATTTTGCTTTGTTGCAAATAAAATATTAACTGTTATTTTGGGTCTGTAAAATCACATTTTGTCTCATTTTGGTAAATATATTGATTCACATCCATAAACAATAAAAGTTCAGTCTCAACCCCTTGAAGCGAAATCTCGTTCACATACCGTGTAAAAATTCTGTTGCCAACACTAAGAAAACAC